GAGAATTCCAGCGCTGCTTCGGCGCTGCCTCACGACGGGGAGACGCTGGCCCACTTGGTTCGCTTCGAGTTCCGGATGAAAGACAAGGACCTGTCGAAGCACTTGAAGCACATGCGCCTCCGCGCTCACGTGGTGCTGCATCTCGGCTGGGAGCTCATCGACCGCGGCCACCCCGCTTTCTGCAAAGCTGCTGCCGGCGATCCCGCGGCCATACGCGCAGCAAAGGAGGCTTTCGAGAGGCGCGTGAAGCTGTGCTACCCGTGGCTCGGCACCTCTGGGGACGCCGACGGGGTGGTCCCGCCGGACATCGAGAAAGCGACGGTGGTGGCGGAGCCGTCCAGGAGCAGCGTGCAGGAGAACAAGCACGCGACTCCGGCGCTGGTCAGCACAGACGTCGCGTCTGTCTTCGACGATGCCAAGCCGACCTCCTGCGCACCCCCGGATGCGACGTCCCGGCAAGGGACTTCGGGCCAGCGTCAGCAGCGAGCCATGGACGGCGGGCCAGTCGTCCCGTACGTCGCCGACGCAGCCATGTTGGAGCAGTGGAATGGGAAGTGCCCCGCGATTGCGTTCCCGCACACGCTACTGTGGCAGAGCGGGGGGCCAGACTTCACGAGGGCCTGGCGCCGTGGCGCCGACGTCGTTCACCGACGTCGAGCAACGGGGCGGCCCGAGGAAGTAGAGAACCGGCCATCCATCAGCATGGAGATGTGGCTGTCAGGCATGTGCCGCCGAGTGGAGCACCAGATCCGATCGGACTGGCTCTTCATTCCGGACATGCGCAATGTCCACTTTCGCTTTTTGGGCATCACCGCAAGGTTGGGGAGCAAAGTGAGGAAGTACGTGGACGAAGATGGATCAGCGTTCACGGAGCGACTCACGACGGCCGTCCGCGGGTTGCACGACCTGTTGGCGAAGGGGTACTACGGACCGAAGAGGCGGCCAATTGCTGGCAACTTGACGGTGCTGCACATGGCGCACGGCCTGGACACGACCCAGAAACAGATCGTGCACAACATGCGCGCGGTGACGAGCACTCTTGCAGGCACCCAGGAACTGCGTCGCAGGATGGGCCACGTCTTCCAGTCTGGCGCGATTGGCTACGGGCACGGGCTTTTCATCACCATTTCGCCAAATGAGAAGCAGTCCTGCTTGGTCATGCGTCTGCACAGAGTACGCCAGGACGACCCGCTGCTGCGCGCGGGGTGCACAGACGACGCACGGAATTCCATGAGAAAGCGGTTGGCGTCACGGGAGAGGCCTTCACTGTCGGAGTGCGCCGACGCGGAGCTCCCCGATTTCGATTTGCGTCTTTGCGAAATGGCCAATGGTCCTCTCTCGGTCGTTCAGGGCTTCCGCGTCGCCGTGAACGTGATCTTGGGCCGCCCCCTGGACCTGCGGTTGTGCGCCGAGTGCGGCGTCGCGCGAAAATATCGCAGGCAGCCCCGGTGCTGCTGCACGGACAAGTTCGGCTCCGACTCGCGCCCCATGGGCGGCATTTTCGGGGTTGCTGCGGCTCTACTTGGCGCCGTCGAGAACCAGCACCTAGGCACGCTCCACTTCCACGGGTTCGTGTACCTCGCGAACATGTTCCAGCACGCGCCCTTGATTGAGATCGCGAGGAAAATTCGGGAGTCCCCTGGCTTGGCGGACTCGGTGAAGGAGTGGCACGCGTGGGTCCACAGGGAAGAGCACTGGGCCCCCGAGGAGCACCGGGAGAACCTTCCGTCGTTGGAGTTAGAGTGGCGGCAAAATCACCGCGCATCGGAGCACGTAGGTCTGTGTCGGTGGCCCTCTTATATGGACCATGCCGAGCCGAAGACGAAGTGGGACGAAGGGTGCGATGCCGTTGCCTGCGACGCCGACGCGGCCAGCTTCAAGCAGGCTTACGAGGCAGACGCGCAGATGATTTTCTCGAAGGTCCAGCATCACCACCATCCAAACGGGAAGCCGCTCACACACTGTATCAAGAAAGGCTGCAAGCACGGTGAAAAGTGCAAGCACGGCTTCCCGAAGACCATTCTTCTGGCGGCTCCAGACGGACCGAGGTTTCGTGTCGTGTGCCCTCAGGTGGCCAAGGAAGTCGGGCTTAAAGTGAACGGACCGCGGAATGCATTGGGCGAGATCGTGGGCCCCCGGAACGACGATTTCCTGAGCGGGACTCGCCCAGCGTTTGCGGTGGCATTACGGAGCAACACGCACACCGCGCCGAACAACCGGCTGCCGCTCATCAAAGGCATCACTCACGACCCGACTTGCCTGTGTCGACACGGCGCCAGAGAAGAGACAGGATAAGGGTACTTTCGACGCATCACGTTCGTGGTTCAGCGGTCCATGTCGAACTCCTCGCGGTACATCGGAGGGTACATTTGCAAGGTGCAGCGCGTCGGGAGGAAGGCGCGGGAACTCGCGAAGACCTGTCTGTCCACTCTGGCCCAGCGAATCCAAGGGAAGTCTGAGATGCAGCAGACGATGAACACTGTTCACCGCTGCATCGGGGACTGGAAGGCCAAGGGCGTGGCGCGCACGATCTTCGAGGAAGTGAACTTGGCGCACTTCGCGGTCAGGCCGAACCCGCTCGCAGCGGAGTGCATCACGTCGTGCCCTGTCGCCGACTTCTACGCGGGCTGCTTCCTCCAGATCGTGACGGACGAGACTCGGGTAGGGCGCGCGACGGCGCGGCGCCAGAAGAGGTCAGTGCTGTTCACGGACGCAGGCGAGGTGGCCACGCCGCCGGACGCGACGGCGCGAGCGTACGCCTACCGACCGAATCATGCCGAGCTGAAGACTTTGAGCCCGTACGAATTCGTCCGCTTGTACGAGGTGGTACCAACGTGCCCGCCGCCAACAGATGCTTCGAAACCATCGACGGGTCCGACGGAGTGGACGGCGAATTCGCTGCCGGCCGCGGCGGATGGGCCTCCGCGGCCTGGGGTCCACTATGTCGCGAAGCCACCCGCGGACGAATGCAGGTACTTCGCGCTCGAAGAGGACCCAGACGACATGGACTTCGCTCACATGTGCGTGATTGTTCCACGGGGCGTCCCGGCGCTACCGATCTTCATCGGGTCCGTCATGCCGCAGCCCGACATGGCGGCCGATCGCCGCAGCGCCATTCTTTCTGCGTGTTTCCGGCCATGGACTCTGGTGTGCAAATACGGATCTTCTCGGGGGCTTGTTCCGCTAGCGAAGCCTGTGGGCGAACGTGCTGCGCGCAATGACGACGATGCCGGAGGCCGCCGACGAGGATGAGGACGACCAGGACTCGAAGCCAGTCGAGGCGCTGCCCGAGAACGCGTTCCCCGATCTCAGGCCCATCAGCATCATGGCAGAGTTGCGGCGAGTGGACCGAGACGCCAGGGCGGATGCCGCTGGCGAGGACATTGGGCACCTCTCCCACTCGGTGCACAAAGCGCTGGAGCAGAGCATGTCCTTCTGGGACCCGCCGAACACCGAGGCCGCGTGGCGCGTGCCACAGCGTCAGTCTGCTCTTCGGCATCGCAGTTCGCTGCCAGCGGGTGCTCGCGGAGATGCCCGGGAGCCGCTGCGGAAATCGGCGCGCCTGAAGAAGCGGGACAAGCTGTAGCCTGGCGACGCCGACCTGACAAGCAACATCCAGAGCTGGCGGAGAGGACGGGGGGGGGGGGGCAATCGCGAGACGTGGGACTACCCAAAGTATGACATGAACGCAGTTTTGCCGGAGCGCCCGCTCCGTTTCGCTCTGAACGAAGTTATGAAATATGAAAAGTCTTCGGCTTCCGAGCAGGCGTGTTTCCAACCGAGTCTGCGCGGAGCATCTGCTGCGTAGCGTCATGTCGTGAGTGGTGAGTAGATCTGAGTATGTGGAAGGGTTGATGATTGGCCTTGTGTGCACACTTTCGTGGATGTCGCAGCGCCCGCCTGCAGTGCCTCGTTCGCGCCATGCGTTCTCCGTAGAAGGTTCATATATGCGTTTACATTTGCATGCGTGTAAACATATGTATAGTATGTACACATGTACGCGTCTGGGCATGTCAGGCAGGTGGCATGGCACATGTGGTGCGTAGCTGAAAGGGTCGTAAAGCAGTTGAAGGTATGTGAGGAATGTGCAGAGAGGCCTGCCCATGCTTATCCCTGGCCGATCGCAGGACTTCAGACGCACCAGATCATCCCCGACCCGCAGCAGATGAGCATCCTGAATGCCGTCGCCGACAGGTGCGTTCAGGAGGCTAGCGAGCAGGACCAGCCGCGCGGATCGCCATGCTCCAGGCTGTGCGTTCTCGGCCTGCCAGGATCAGGGAAGTCCGAAGTAATCCGGTGGCTGTGCGACGAGGACGTGGGTTTGTTTCCCACGTGCATGGGATGGGAGCACGAGGTTCACTTCATGAAGACCGCCCCAATGAATTCCATGGCAAGCAACATCGGGGGGAAGACTACCCACAACTTCAGCAAGCTCGGGATCGATCTTATCACGGGGGCCCACTCTGGCGGGAAGAAGGACCCGGAGCTGTCGGAGAACTTGTCGCACACGAAAATCCAGCACATGCGTTGGCTTATCATCGACGAGGTGGAGAACGTGTCCGTGGAGCTGCTGGACGCCGTGCACAGGCAGGTGGAGGACTCGACGAGGGACAAGGGGAACCCGTTGGCCGTGGACGCACGCGCCCCGAAACAGTTCGCCATGTTCGGCGGTCTGAACCTGGTACTTCTCGGAGATCTGTGGCAGATCCCGCCCGTGAGGACTCTCAGTATTGCTGCCAATCCTTTCATGAAGCGGTCCGCCAACGTCGGCCGCATACTCGAAATGTTTTAGACAGAGGGCTTGCCGCACTCGGCGACTCACCGCTACGCCCTGACCCAGTCGCACCGCTGCTCAGACCCGTGGCGGAGGAGCTTCCTCGCAGAAGCGCGCGCGGGGAGTCTGTCGGACAGAATGTACGATTTCGTCCGCGGCTTCCCCACTGATGTGCCCGGCTCCTGGATGCCCGTAAGCCCCGGCAGCGCCGAGGCCTCGACGGGGCACCTCGGCTGCGGGAAAGCGAAGTGCCGCGCGCTCTGGTCAGCTCAGTGGCCGCGGATGTTCGGAGAGGGTCGGCCTTGGCAGGACATGCGAGCTCTTGAGTGCGCTGACTGCAGCGCGGAACGCCGTCGGCGCTGCCGCGTCGCCTCTCAGAGCGATGCCAGACAGCGGGAGGTGAGCACGGCGTTCGCCGACGCGCTGTTCGTGCACCCGCACAACGCCCCGAATACCATAATTTTGACTCTGCGAGCGGCGAATGCGGCAGCAAATGCTGGGAAGCAGCTCCTCTGGGTGGTGGCGCGCGACGTCCCCCTCACTCGGGGCGACGCATGCAGGTCGAAGGGGTCCCTTGCCAACGCCGGGCACAACTGGCTGATGTACCCGGAAAACAAGACTGGCGGAGTTCCGGGCGTGCTTCCGATCTTCGAAGGGGTGCGCGCTTCACGACCACGGAGAATGCGGAGGCGGGAGCCTGCAAGCATTCCTGGGGGACAGTGACTGGCTGGGTTCTCCACCCGGACGATTCGAAGCTGGTGAAAGAGCAGAGGGCCGAGCCGGAGCTGGTCCTGCAGCACGTGCCCGATGCGATCATGGTGAGAATTCCAGGAAGCACGGCCCCCCGCTTCGGCAATCAGCCTGCTGGCGTCTTCCCGGGGAAGCTGATGGAAGTGTCCTGGGATCGCAGTCCCGGCTTCAGGGCCATGGTGACGCGCACGGGTTTCCCGCTCGTCCCGCACTTCGCCGCCGCGGCCCATTGCGTCACCGGCTCCACTCTTCCGCAGGCCATCGTCGACCTCCTGGACGCGCGGGCGACGCCCTTTTTCCCCCATGTTGTTCCGCCAGGGGCATCAGACGGGCCCGTGGCTCCTGCACTCCCTTACAGCTGGGGAGATGACGACGGAACAGGCGAAAGCGGGTTGGGCCAAGGCAGAGAGGGAAAGCCGCGTCCAGGTCGTCGAAGAAGTTGGTGGACGCCGCGTTCCAGTGCGCCGACTGCCACCAGCGAAAAAGACCGGGCAATTTCCCAGACAGTGGCATGAGAACGAGCGACCCTCTGGAGCACGCGTGGCGGTGCTGAGCCAGGGGGCCTGGAGGAGGTGCGCCCTCTGCGTTCAGAAGCGGACCTCTGCTTCGGGCAAACCTGCCGCGGCTGCAGCGCCGCTCGCCGCGAAAGGCAGAGACGCGCTCGTCTGCAATCGCTGCAAGGAGCCCAATCAATTGACGAATTTCCGACGCAGCGAGGTGAATGACCTGAAAGGCAGAGGGGCGCTGGACCTCGCCGTTTGCGTGGCGTGCACCCCGGAGAGGCGCCCGCCTGTTGAAGTGTCGCATCTGCAAGCGGGACATGCCCGCGGAGCAGTTCGATGCAGCCTTTTTTAAGAGCGTCAAAGACGCCGCGGTGTCTGGACGAAAAATGGAAGCCCCTCTGCAAGGCCTCCAGAACGCGTGGAGTACAGCACCGGTTTCTGGTGCGAGTCGTGCAGATTTCCGCCGTGCGCGAGATGTGGCTCGGCTCCACGGCCGAAGACGGCCAAGTACAGAGTCTGGAACATGAGAGAGTGGACCTGCGCTCAGTGCCGGGATCCGCGCAGGGATTTGAAATGCGCGCGGTGCTCGGCAGTGTTTAGGCGAGAAGCCGTGCACAGTTCCCAGCGTGACAAAGCAGACGTGCTCTGCCCCGCTTGCCGGCGGGCAGAGTAGGCGCCGCGCAGCCGATCCGGACTGGTAATCGCCGCTGTGGAGAATTATTCAAAAATGTGGAAGATGTGGGCGTTAGATGGCGTGACATGCTCGGCCGCGCGCGTGCGTGCCGCTCCGTCCTGCCATCCCCAGGGCTTCTGGGCGGACTCTTGGGGGACGCTTGGGAGCCTCTTGGAAACCTCTCGGGGGCCTCTTGGGCCGTGTTTGGGGCCGCCTCGGGGCCCTCTCAGGGCTGCTTCTTGACGTCTTGCGCCGTCCTGGGGCACTCTTGCGCCGTGTGGCCCCATCGGAGGCCATCTTGGAGGCCTCTCGTGGCCGCCGTGGGGCTCTCTTGGAGGCTTCTTAGGCCGTCTTGGGGGCCCCTGGGATTGTGTTGGGGGCCTCTTTTGGCCGTCTCGGGGCGCTCTTGGGCCGTCTTGGGACCACCGTGGGGACTTATTTGGCAGTCTTGGAGTCTTCTTGGAGGCTGCGTGGGCCGTCATGGTTTTCTGAGAGCCGAAAAAAGCGAAAAAGCTAAAATCTTTGAAAAACTTATAAGAAATCAATAATTTGTTGCCTCTGGAGGCGCTCTTTGGGGTCCTCTTGGGGCCCTCTT